GCTACGAGCAGAGACTCAAGGACCTTAACCTATTCTCTCTTGTAAGAAGAAGAGTAAGGGGGGACCTAATAGAAGTCTTTAAGATCATCAACGGGCTCTCCGGACTTAAGTTCGAGGACATGTTCCAATTCATCCCCTCAAGTGACACTAGGGGACATAGTTTAGGACTACAACGTAGTCTTGTAAGACTGGACATTCGAACCAAGTTTTTCACAAGTCGCGTAATACCTTACTGGAATAGTCTGCCAGAAAAGGTGGTAAGTTGCTCGAACGTCATTGCCTTCAAGAGGGCATTAGATGACTGTTGGACTTCTACCTTCCCTGAAGCAGTTTGATGGTAACTACCTATTAGTCCTGAGCGCCATTGCCCAGGACGTGATACTGCACCTTTTTTTCTGCCTTTCAGAAAAAACCTATTGACTCGCAGTGTTGGAAGCCACAAGAACAGCCAACAACACATCAATCTGGACGCAAGATTGGCCCGGGCCACACATCGTCCTGCGCAAACTGAACTGAACTGAAGTGAGCAAGTGTTCGTTCCTCCATAGCCCCTTCAGGTGCTCATCCGGACGCTGTTTGAAAGCAGCGTCTGTCACTGATGTCTATATATTGCCTTCTTGTTAGTTGTCCTTGCGGACGTTAACCACTTATGCTCCCTCATCAATTTGTAATTTTGAATCATCTACTCACACGTTGTATGTAAGAGAAAAGCCTCAAAACACCAAACAACCGGTGAAATATTATTATGAAAACCATGACTGATAATAAGTAAACGGAAACAAGTTATGCTTCAAAAGTGATATCACTAATATAAAAAATGGTACAAAACGATACAAATTGTCAGGGATAAATCTGTTTGATTTGGCCCAGGAATGTTGAAAAGTAGACCGGGAATGCATCATAGAAAAAATTGAACCAGAATCTGTATTAAACCGCATCATATGGTCAAGTCAAGTCAAGTCAAGTCAAGAATGCACCTTGTTCTTCCAATGTGGACAGAATTTTCAGTGAAAAGTATGTTATCGCTTTTGCCTTTGTATGCGCGCTATTAAAAATGACCTTAGAGATGTGAGAAATAGTTACTTAGATGATAATGAGTAAGACACGGAAAACGCGTAAAAAAATAAAGAAAATTTCGACTTGCAAATTTACGTGAGACTGCATAAGTTCGTTTCATATTTGTTCCCTAGAAAACAACAAACGTGAAAGGTAAGGTACAACGGAGTTGTGAAAAGCAGTGGTACGAGTATGTAAAGGTGTAAATTTATTGCAGGTTACAGAAGTTGAAATGAAGCTAGATAGGGCTGTGAGTAAGCGTTGTGACGCATTGGACAAGGTGGAGTCACACAGACTGTCACACGCATTCAGGTGTTGGTTAACAATGGAATCAACCAGCTTCTCATAAGATACAGATCCATATGTAGGGATCCTTATCAGAGAGCGTCTAATTAATATGAAATCCTCAGATAATAGACCGGGAAAGATAAAAGGAGAGCATTAGGTCCACTGGCATAAAACGTATGAGAAACTAAAGTTGGAGATGATGTATAATGGTACCCACAGATGCTGAAGGTATGAAATGTAAATGGCCAACTTTCTGACTTTAAGAAATGTTTCTTCTACGTTATAGGATCATTTGAGGTCAGCAAACATGAAAAATCCAAGATGTTTGAAGTGTTGTGACTTTTAAGTTACTGATCAAGTTATTGGGAACAGTTGATCCAGAAGGAGTTGATGGCCTAAAGTCAATGAAAAACAAAACTGCAATACATTTATTGGGGTTTAAAGAAAGATAAACATCATCGGACCATTCAGAAACGGAATTTATGGCTGATTGAAGGGGGTTAGTTGAAGGGTTGTTGTTTTGAGATGCACCACGAAGCACTAGGTCATCGGCATATTTAAAAGTGAAAACGTTTGGGGTGAATGGCAAGTTTTGCATATGAAAGGAGAACGAAAAAGGGGATAAAGTTGCTCCTTGTATTACACCCTGGTTTACAGTAACAGTAGAAGACCTAATACTATTGAGACAAGTGAATTTGCGTCGGTTGGTAAAACAGTCGTGCATCAAATTCAAAAGACGTGGCGGGAGATTATGTTGCTGTAACAGTGTCAATAGGATGTTTCTGTCTACAGAGTTAAATGCGTTTGTGTAGTCCAAGAAACAAACGTGAACAATTTTGTGTTTTTAGTCTGTAGTGGATAAAACAGAATGTATAAGAAAAACGATCGCATCTAAAGTAGAGTGACGCTTACAATAAGCAAACTGATTGGAATCACGAAAATCGAGATTAGGGGATAGGTGCCTAATAATAATTCAGTACACTGGTCAAGCTACAAAGCTGATCAGAGGAACAGAAAATG